TCTACAATGTTTACATATTAAACGAAGAACTTAGTCAAAGCAATCAATGAATAATGATTGAGAACTATCCCAAAGCAAAGATGATCACGTCAACGCGATGATGATTCTACGAAGGTTCGATGTCATTACCAAATAAGAAAACACCATCCCAGCTACGATGACGACACTGCCAATAAATCATCACCAATGACAAATTTTCTCATGCCAGAAGTGTTTTAAAAAGAGAGCACCAACCAGAGAAAGAAGCAGGAAAAAAGTGGAGAAAAGAAAGTCACAGAGAGCGAGAGAGAGCAAAAACGGACGAGCACCAGAGCAACGATAGCTCAAGAGAAGACAAATAGTGAGTAGAATTGATTTCAATTCTCATAATCTTCCGAATACTGATTTTTCCCATTTTTCTCAGCGAATTTGCGAGCATCATCGACAGTTATGCCCCCCAAACGTCAATCAATAGGTCAATCTACATCTCAAGCACGAAAGAAAAAGGCATTATGAGTTTCAGAAACAGACGAGAAACGGAAAGCAAGATTAGAAGCTGATCAAGTATGCACTGCTCAAGCCCGCTCGAATGAAACAACTGATCAATGGGGAGTAACACTGGGAGCCAATCAAGAACACAATGTTTGATCCAGACGAACACTGCACGCTGATTTGAATCTTGCTGCGTTCCATTATGATGCTGATTATGATTAAATCTTCATCGAAGTGTCGTTATTGAAAAAATGGACAAGTTATGCAAATTTTGCCGTGCATTGAAATTCAAGAATAAAATGCCAGGAATGTGCTGTGCAGATGGAAAAGTGAAATTGCCAGAGTTGCATTTACCACCTAAACCATTATCAACGTTGGTATCAGGTGACACAAGCCAGTCGAAACATTTCTTGGCAAACATACGCAAGTACAATTCATGTTTCCAAATGACATCGTTCGGTGCAACAGAAATTATACATGACAATTATATGCCAATGTTCAAAGTGCAAGGGCAAATTTATCATCATACTGGATCACTTCTACCACTGCCAGATGCAGATCACAAATTTCTCCAAATTATTTCATGGGAGCCAGTGATGAACAAGTTGATCAACGTTGTCGATTCAATACTGACACTAATCGAGAAATTGTTGCTGCATTACAAAATGTATTTGATCAACATAATGAATTAGTTCCACTGTTCAGGACAGCCCGAGCGAATGCCAGCTGATGATTACATACTTGTCATTAGAGCTGACAAAACATCAGCTGGCCAACACGAAAGACAATACAACGCACCAACAATTAATGAAGTGGCGATTGTCATAGTTGGCGAAGAATTTAACTCGCGTGATATAGTTCTTCATCGCAGAGATGGTAATGTTCAGCAAGTCTCCGATACTCATTGCTCATACAATGCATTGCAATATCCAATTTTATTCTGGCAAGGAGAAGATGGATATCATTTCAACATCAAAATGAGAAATCCATAAACAGATGAGGACACCAATAAGAAAGTCAGTGCCATGAATTACCATTCATATCGATTGATGATTCGTGAGAACACAGACAATCACATTTTGAAATGTCAGAAATTATTTCATCAATACATTTTTGATATGTATGCAAAAATCGTGACCAAATGACTTCTTTTCATTCAATTGAATCAAACCAAGCTGTGCTCTGAAGAATATATTCATTTACGCAATGCAATTGCTACTGATGGCAATCTTAATGAACTGGGAAAAATGGTCATATTGCCAGCTGCATTCACAGGAAGCCCAAGGCACATGCATGAATACGCACAAGATGCAATGACTTATGTTCGCGCATACGGCCGTCCAGATTTATTCATAACATTCAAATGCAATCCTACGTGGGAAGAAATTAAAGATCTTCTGTTGCCTGGACAATCCTCTTCGGATCGCCATGACGTCATTGCACGTGTGTTCAAACAAACATTGAAATCTATGATGGATTTCATTGTCAAACATCATGTTTTTAGGGAGACATGCTGTTGGATGTATTCCATTGAGCGGCAGAAAAGAGGATTACCGCATGCACACATTTTGATTTGGTTGATCGACAAAATTACACTAGACAAAATTGATGAAGTCATCTCAGCAGAAATACCAGATGTTGACATTGATCCAGGCTTATTCAAAGTTGTTACCAACAACATGATTCATGGTCCATGCGGTGCGATCAACAACAATGCTCCATGCATGAAGGATGGAAAATGCATGAAACGCTATCCACGACACTTACATGCCGAAACTATCACTGGAAATGATGGATATCCACAATATCGTCAACGATCAACTGAAGATGGTGGCAAATTCATCACTCTAAAAGTATGCAACAATGACATTGAAGTCAATAATTGTTGGGTTATGCCGTATTCACCATTACTCTCAATGATGTTCAAAGCATACATCAATGTCGAGTATTATAATTCAGTGAAATTGATCAAATACGTCAACAAAGGAAGTGATGTGGCAGTTTTTGGAGTGGGAAATGCATCTGCACCAATCAATGAAATTGATCGATATGAATTGGGACACTACATTAGTACCAATGAAGCAGTTTGGCGTATTTTCTCATTTCCAATTCATGAACGTCATCCAACAGTTGTTCATTTGGCAGTACATCTTGAAAATGGACAGCGCGTGTATTTTACAATGGAAAATGTACATGCAACAGCGTTATCGCCACCGAAAACAATGTTAACTGCGTTCTTCTCATTGTGCACGGATAATTTGTTCGCAAAAACACTACTTTACTCAGTAGTGTTTTTGCGAACAAATCATACTTTACTCAGAAGTGCCAAAATACTACACATGGAATGCATCAGCGAAAAAGTTTCAATGTTGTAAACAGGGGAAACCAGTTGAAGGACATCCAAATTTATATTCATCCGACACGTTAGACTGTCTGTATACAGTTCATCCAAACAATCAAGAATGTTTTTACTTGCGATTACTGTTACTTAACGTATGTGGACCGAAATCCTTCTAAGAACTGAGAATAGTGTAAGTGAGTAAATGGTGAAGTATGTGCGACGTATCGAGAAGCTTGCCAAGAATTAAATCTTCTTGAAAACAAAACACTCGCTGATGCATCGAATACTGCTCAACCACAGCAAATATGCACGTTATTTGCGATAATATTGAAAATGTGTTTCCCATCCAATCCGAAAGATCTTGGGAAAAATTACAAAGATTACATGAGTGAAGACATCCAATATCATTTGGAAGCAACGAATCAGAATCTGGACATGCAATTCACACCACACATGTATAATGAGGCGTTGGTTTCAATCGAGGATATATGTTTGACAATCGCTAACAAAGGATTGGGGCAGTTGGGAATGTGTGTACCGAATCGATCTGCAAACGACGCATATGATCGTGATTTGCAACGTGAAACGAATCAATGTCGATCATTTGGGTACATTTCTTGAAACAAATCTTCCGAAATTGGTTTCAGAACAATGCATTGTATATGACACAATAATGCAAGCAATTACAAATCAAAGGGGCAGATTGTACTTCATAGATGTGCCCGGAGGTATAGGCAAAACTTTTCTCATTTCACTAATTTTGGCAACCGTTCAATCACGGAATAAAATTGCACTGGCAATTGCATCATCTGGAATTGTGGCAATACTTTTGGATGGTGGTTGAACAGTGCATTCAGCACTGAAATTGTCATTGAATTTGCAAACCACTGAGACGCCAACATGCAATATCACCAAAAATTTCAGAATGGGCAAAGTTCTCCAAACATGTAAACTTATCATATGGGATGAATGCACAATGGCTCACAAAAAAGCATTCGAAGTGCTTGATCATACACTGAAAGATTTGAGGGGAAACGGACAACCCTCCGTGGAGCACTCATTTTATTGTCTGGTGATTTCGACAAATTCTGCCAGTTATACCATGTTCAACACCCACTGATGAACTTAATGCATGTCTCAAATCATCAGTTCTATTGCGACATGTAAAGAAATTGACTTTGAAAACCAATACGCATGTTGAATTACAAAATGATGTATCCGCTAAACGTTTCGCAAAACAATTGCTGGATATTGGGAATGGGAAGATGGCAATAGACAGATCTACACAATGTATCACATTGCCAACAAATTTTTGTAAGATGACATCAATCAAAGGTGAATTGATTCAAAAGGTTTTCCCAAATATAGCGCAGAATTACAAAAATCACCAGTGGCTCAGTGCACGTGCTATATTAGCAGCTAAGAACAAAGATGTCAATGACATCAATTTCAGCATTCAAAACAGAATACCAAGCGAAGCGACAACATATAAGTCCATCGATACTGTTATGAATCAAGACGAAGCTGTCAATTACCCAACGAATTCTTGAATTCACTAGATTTGCCAGGAATGCCACCACACATTTTAACATTGAAAATTGGCATGCCTATCATTCTTCTTCGTAACATCAATCCACCATGACTCTGCAACGGTACAAGACTTTCGGTGAAAAAGATGATGAACAATGTCATCGAAGCTACAATTTTGAATGGGAAATTCAAGCGGGAAGATGTACCGTTGCCAAGTGTTCCAAAGATCCCAACAGATATGCCATTCAAATTCAAATGTTTGCAGTTTCCTGTGCGAATTGCTTTTGCAATGACCATCAACAAAGCACAAGGACAATCACTGCAAGTGTGTGGGCTAGATTTGGAGAATCAGTGCTTCTCACACAGACAACTGTATGTGACCAGCTCATGCGTCGGAAAACCTTCTGATTTATTTGTATACGCACCAGACAGAAAAACAAAAAAATATAGTATATCAACAAGCACTCCAATAAATAAACAGAATTGAAACGACATTTGGAAATGTTTTCCCGATGAAAATGAATAATAATAATGTAATAATAATAAAAATGATAAAATGTAAATTGAATTTTATCATAACGCGTTTGCTTGAATTTCCTTTCTTCTGAGATTGCAGCAATACACGACAGGTAAGCTAATTTTAAATAAAAATACTTACTCTGGTAGAAGTCTTCTGTAAAGCATTCTTTTGAATATTTCTGTCTTTTTCATTAGTATTTAATGATGGATCATTTTTCAGAGTTGCAGATGCTACTTCAGCTAACATATCTAAGAGTGGGACTGAGCTAAAAGATTTATTACATGATGTTGAGTTACTTGTATCCAATAGATTTTCTTGTGACAAAATAATGGAAGAACACACACTCCCTGTAAATATAAACATTTATATGTTGTTTAATATATATATTACACGCATACAAACATGAAAACATACATACACATAAGTAAATTATTTAATCATTCAATAATCTTTAAACTCTTTAGTCTTTCCTTAATTTATAATTTATAATAGTCTAAAATAAATTTGTTAATTAAATATTAGACTTAATAAACAGTTCCCAAAAAGAAATCTACAGATGTATTGGACTTTGAACTCACATTTGAGTTATAAATAAACACTTGGCTTTATTTCCATCATTTTAGTTTAAGATTGTACGTAATTATGTCTATGACCCCTGGATACTGTCAAAAACATATAAGAAAATCATTTATAAAAATTTTTTAATGAAATTACTCCACTTATTGTAAAATAAGTTGTGTACACCAATTAAGACCTTGTATGTATAACAAATTAAAAATGAATATCTTGACTGATCGACTGTTCGAGTTTTATGCTCGAAACGTGCTGTTGTCACGTATCAACTAAAATGTTGGAAATAAAGCCAAGTGTTTATTTATAACTCAAATGTAAGTTCGAAGTCCAATATATTCGCAAAATGCATAACGATTTCGGTTTCGAAAACAACATAAATGTTGTATTGTTGAATCAAATATCTTTATACAAATCAAAAATTAGTTTTATTCCTAATTTGGAAGCTCAAATAAATTTATAAAATTTATTGCATAATTTTTTCACTGTAGCTTAAAATAATATTAGTAATTTGATCAAGATGAGAGTACAAGATAATATGTATTAAGTATTTATCTTTGTTAAAGAACAAAAAACAATTGAATTATGAATTTAAAATTATATAGGGTCTTATTTGATTTTTCTATGAAATTTTTATTTGTTTTGAAATAGTTATTTCAACACATGAATCATCAATATGTTACATAAAAATCTTATATTGTACTAAAACAAAAATTTCTACTAGATTAATAAAATTACAAGACAGCTATAAAAAATGAGATTGGCTTCATAGCATAGATATAAGATCTCACTATAAAAGATTACATAAAACTCTCTAGATCAGGAGTTCCCAACTTGTCTTCTGAGGAATCATAGTGTTCCGCCAATAAAATCCATTGAGTCTAGTGGAGTATGAATGTGCATGCAAACTTGGGACGTGAGGTGTAATTGTTCTACTCTTGGATTTAGTCTTCTTATGTCCTCTACAAATACTAGAGTTATTTATAGCTTTATAAACAGTGGGACAAATTTACTGATAATGGAACAAACCAAAATCAAGATATAGGTTAAAGTTGGACAAGATAATAAAAATTATAAAAACAGTAAAACTTAACCTAATGCTAATCATTAAAATATAACCATAAAAGTATTCAACATATAAATAATAATACAATTGTTAAATATGCTTTAATTTGCCAATATCTGCAGTGCAAGCCTATTGAATCTAATGACAGAAGTGGCCAGTCAGATGCCTGATGGTACTGTACATGCTACGATACTAATGATTGGACACTCATGACAGATGAGCGTCACGTGTAACAAAGTGGTTAATTAATTAGTGTCCCATAATCAGTAGTGTGTAATGATGCAGCATACAAGCAGGCATATCAGTCAAAGATTATTAGAAATCTGCACAGCAATCTTTTATGGTATTTTGAGTATTTTTCATACAAAAATACAGTGGGAATCATATAATTTTATAGTGCTTTCAGTATTATGTATATCCCAAATTAAAAAATCATGGAGCATTGGCTAAGAGAAGAGTTTTGAAGAAAAATGTAGCAAGTCTTCAAATGTTTCTAGTGACAAGGAGACTGAAAAGGCAGATACAAACGAAGGTACAAATTCAGGCTCTAGCGCTGTTTAAAATATTGAAAGAAATGAAGTTTATCCCTTCACATTAATGAACAAACTGTTCATTAATTAATGTGAAGAGATAAACTTCTTTTCTTTCAATATTTTAAATAGCATTAGTGCCTGGATTTGAATTAAGTAATAATATATGCTTTCCATTATTAATCTTTTTGTTTTTTTTATTTTTTCATTCAATAAATTGTTTTGGTGTTTCTATTTGCTGTTTTATCTGTAATCATTAAAAATTTTCAGGATTCCAACATTTTTTTTTACTAAGGTGAAAATGGTTCCATGATAAAAATATGTTGGAAACCACTGATCTAGATGATAGATAAGTGGTGTGTGTATAAATGTTTCAATCTACTTAGTACACTCTTATACATAAAACAGCTGTGATAATCAGATATGATTTTGAAATCTGGTGAAAAAATTTCGTTTTACTCATTATAGTAGTACATTCTGCATATTGTAATAATTTTGGAACTCACCTAAACTGATAACATTAAGTGAGAAAGAAAGACTACAATTAAAAGAAATTCTAGTTTTGTTAATTAAAACATTAAAAAAATAAGCTAAAATAAAAAAATAATGTATACCTAGAAGATTTATCAACCAAAACTATAATTATTATTACTAGTAATTAATATATAATTTATCCAGTTTTGCTGTCAGTATTGTTCCAGTCTGCTACCAACTTCAGCAACAGCTAGTGTAGTGTAGCCAGCAATTTAGACTATTGTATTGAGAGCAAATAATGATTAACCTGGCAATGGGCATGTGGGGTGACTCAGTCATCCCAGTGACATTTGAATGCATACTGTACAAATATGCAAGTTTGAATTTTCCTGGTAACTTCCAGTACCTTTCCTGGAAATAATTCTGAACATCCTCCTGTTGTAATCATTTGCCATTTTTGAAGTTTGTGTGTGAAAAATAAGAAAGAATGTGGATACTGGCTTGGGTGACTCAGGATAAAATCTCACATTATCTATAATATGCTAAATTTTAATCCAAGTTGTCAGCTTGTTTTCCAGGTGCAGTTGACTGTATCATAATCAGTGATGATATTCGAAATATTTAACAAAGGGTTCGCTAACAGAAAATTTTTCTTTAACAATTTTTTTTCGCTCAAATCGGAAGGCTCTAGTTTAGTAGTGTTACAGAGTATAATACGTATACAGTATTTTAATATATTTTTTAAAAAAAACCATTGAGAAATGTTACGTGTGTTTAACAAGGAAAACTTTGGAAATGTTAACAACGGGTTCGGCCGAACCTGTGCGAACCCGCTGAATATCACCACTGATCATAATCAACAAAAAAATTAAATTGTGTCTGTTTAATATTGGAATAATACTAAATCAAACCATAATGATAACAGATGTAGAGAAAACTGCATGAAAAATTTTAAATTAGAGCTTCTTAGTACTAAATTGGAGTGGCATATTCATCTCAGTCCAAACTATCATTAGCAGGATCTTTGTCAGAGGAACTGTCATCAAGCAGGTTAATATTAATCCTTCTTTGTGATGACTCCTCCAATATCTGATCCACAATGCTGTTTCCCAAAGTTTTTCATATCTTTTCATTGTGCTTTGGACACAATTTCTCCAATTTTTGTATGACTTGCAAAATAGGTTTGTTTCTATGAAGTTTTGACACTTTGTTTCATAAAAGTTGCCTTATGGCAACCCAATATTGTCCTTCATATTTGCCCAAATAATCTAATAGCTTGGAGTTCACAATGATAAGGGGGAAATCCTTACTACTGTGTGCCTCCACTGTTTAGCACATTCAACAATAATGAATTTCTTTTCATCATGAGTTGACTTGACTTTTTTAGAAATTCAAGTTCCAGAAATCCATTGTTGCATTCTACAGCATAGTTTCAAATCCACTCAATGATCTCTAATTTCCTCTTCTGGCTGGTGGGTACATTGTCAATTTGAATGGAGTGATAAGGGACATTGTCCATCACTCCATTCCGATTCATCACTTCCAGCTGATTCTCCATTCATCTTTATCAAATGAACTCAATTTCTTTGCATAGAAACAATATGTGGCATTTCACACAAAAATTTTCTACCATTTAGCTTATTCCACCGAAAATCTAGCTTTTGTAGGACCTGTCAAAAGGGAACTTTCTTGACTATGAAAATTAATTTTTTGTAGAAGTGCTTGCAAAATGCTATGCACAGTTGACAAAACCTTTTGCACACACATTTCATGAACTGTCCTGCATACAAGAAATAAATCAAACTTGCTATTGGACCAGAGTTACCAGAGTTATACATGATCTTTTCTCATCTAGGAGGTTCTAACTTTTCCTGGGTTCTATTTTTGGTTAAAATTGAATGAATAGTCCTTTTTGACAGTCATTTTTCAGCATTGTTTATTTCATTTGTACAGTTTTCTCTTCATCCATAAATCTATGCATACTATTTCATGAGCCTTGGCTATTTAAAGACTTTCCTTTTTTTGATAGAAGTACTCATTATTTCAGAAAAGATCCCAAAACTTTCCAGAAAACAGTCTCTGTAGAAGTAAAAATGTATGTGAATGACTGTTAAATCCACAGATCACTCCCCTCCAGTTCTCCCCTATTTTCCCAATTACAGTAGTACCTCAGGATATGAACACTTCAGCATACGAAATTTTCAGGATACGACATGAAATTCAAACATATTTTTGCTCCACGGTATGAACAAAAACTCATCATACGATGTTACATTAGTTTGCAGTGCCACTGCCATGATCACGTGTTCTTTCAGTTCATCGATCTCAGTCTGTGTGTTTGCTTCGTCGTGGAAGGATCTTGCTTGATAAAGGAAATCTTGAGGTATTATCAGAAAGTGACTAATTTTATTGAAAAGAAACATCCTGAAAAGGTTCACACTGGTCATATTGCTGCTCAGTTTAATGACATTTGCATAAGTCATTTTAGAAACATTTTAAAAAGTAGACAAAGCCAAACTTCCTTGGATAGATATTTTACCAAGTGACCTCTATCCAGTGAAAGTGTTAGTGGAAGTGAAGGAAAGAAAGCAAAAACCAGTGAATAAAAAATTTAGAAAAAAATATAAAACAGAAAAGATAAAAAAAATTAGTATTAAGTTATTTTTAAGTTATTGTTACAATATGTTATGTAAGTTAAGTTTTAGTA